TCAATAAAATAAAAAAATAATAGCTGGGGATGTACCTCAGTTGGTAGAATGCTTGCCCCACATGCACAAAGCCCTGGATTCAGTCCCCAGCACTACACAAAAATAAATAAATAAATAAATATTCTTTTAAAAAACCTATAATCTCTAAAAGAAGAGATGATTTGGTAAAAAACTAGAGAATCTTTACTACATGAAACAGAAAAACTACTTCAATAGAAGCTCTTCTGTAAATGCTAGGGACTTTATTGGGCACTTAATTACATAAGAAAACATTCTTCAGGTATTTTTTTCAATTCCCTCCTCCTGTTATTATTTGTTTATATTGCATACTAGGGGTTGAACCCAGTCTCTACCACTAAGAAACATCCCTAGTCTTTTTTCAAATATATTTTTTTAAACGTCATTTTGAGACTGGGTCTCACTAAACTGCTGAGATTGGCCTTGAATTTGTAATCTTCCTGTCTCAGCCTCCCAAGTAGCTGGCATTACAGGCACACCACTGCACCCGGCTCACTTCCCTGTTCAAATAACTAAACCTGAAGGGGTGAGTGTTAATTCAAACCTAGGTCTTTCCAACTCTAAACAGTTAGGTAAGCTGTGTGTGGGTTTTTTGTTTTGTTTTGATTTTTTTAGCACATACTGCTCTCAAACAGTGGTTTCAATTGGAAAGAAGTTAGAAAACATTTTTGTAAACATCATAAAATCCCAAGTAAATACTGATTTTTAGATCATAATTAAAGTTTACCAACTACAGCACCATAATTAATCATTTCAAGAAAGCTGTCCTTACACAGAAACTGTTATTTACAAAATCCAGGTCAAAGATAAGCCTCAGTATTGGCCACCTATGCACACAACACTGTAATACACACCTCAGCTCTGACCAACAACCAAGGCCTACCGGTGAAACTATGCAAAGAGGCCTTGGTGGTACCTGCATTCACATAGGGATTAAGTGCCTGCTGTATAAATAGCAATAAACCCCTGTAAACCAAATTTCACATTTAGTTAGAATTGAGGCTTAAAGTAGTACACAATCTTCCAACTCTTCTGTCATCTAAAAATAACTTATTAGCTCTATAATAGTTATAAGTCCTTACAAACTATAATTTTCAGTCAACTGACCAAAGTAATGAATCATTTACAAAGACTTTAAGCAGAAAACAAAGATATGGGAGTATTTCTTAAGATCCCATATTAAATATCAAAGAATATTCCCAAAATTGAACTCCCATAGAGGTGCCATAAATTAAAAAATAATTTACAACAGGGTTTTTTAAACTATTTGAAGAACACCTTTTAAAAGATTGATGAAAGGGAATGAGGTTGTAGCTCAGTGGTACAGCACTTGCCTGGCCCATGTGAGGTACTGGGTTCCATCCTCAGCACCACATAAAATAAAATAAAAATAAAGACATGTGGGGCTGGGGTTATGGCTCAGTGAAACAGAGCTTGCCTAGCACATAGGAAGTGCTGGGTTTGATCCTCAGTACCCACATAACAATAAATAAATATTGTGTCCAACTACAACTAAAAATTAAAAAATAAAGGTATCATGCCTAGCGCAGTGGTGCACACCTGTAATCCCAATGGTTCAGGAGGCTGAGACAGGAGGATCAAGAGGTCAAAGCCAGCATCAACAAAATCAGGTGCTAAGCAACTCGGTGAGACCTTGGTCTCTAAATAAAATACAAAAATAGGGCTGGGGATATGGCTCAGTGGTTGAGTGCCCTGGTAACAATCCCTGGTAACAAAAAAAAAAAAAATTTCTTAAGTTGGTAAAAGCCCTTATCTCCAATAATGCTCACAGCTGACATATGTAATACTTTGCAGACTACTTAAGAGTGCCTCATTTCATTAACCCATCCATTGCCCTTTTATGGGGAATTCACCAACCCCAAATAAAGACCTCTTATTTAAAAAGTTATTAGTAATTTCCAGAGCTTTTTCTCCTATCTTTTAAATCATAGCCCCTCAAAAATTATGTTTATCAATTTACAGAAATTGTATTTACACACTTTGCCTTAGAAATATACATCTTCCATATCCTATACTCTTGTAGTAAAAGAAAACCCTCGTGTCCTTTTTATCTACTATCATTAACAGTGCTCACATTTTGTGAAGAAGGGGCAGTAAAGAAGAGAACGCCAAGATACTGTCAAGGCCAGTGGCCTTGCAAAGTTTTCAATCTACTTGTATCTTACAAAATTTACAATCTAGTTGAACAGTCTGTTTTATTTTAAAAGGTGTGGGGGACAGGAAGGGGATTAAGGTGTGAGAAGCTGGGGACATAGCCCAGGGGGAGAGTGCCTGCCTAGCATGCCTGAGACCCTGTGTTCTATTCCCAGCACAGCAAAAAACCACCACCACCAAACCTCCTTTCAACAATTTAGTGGTCATTTTAAACAAAAACAGGTGTAGAGCTGGCAAGGTGGCACAAGCCTGCCCAGTTACTCAGGAGGATCACAAGTTTGAGTACAGCCTCAGCAACTGAAGGAGACAAGGGCTGAGGATATCCTGTAGTTCTGTGGTATCACAAAAAAAGACAGAAATTAAAGAAGGAAAAACAAGATCAAAGGACTAAATTTTCTAAGTAATATATCTGCTAAAAGTTATTCCCAATTCCACAAGCTGAATAAACTTTAGAACTGGGAAAAACAACACTGAATTAGGTGGAATTACTAAACACCACAGAATTAATACAAACAAAACACAACTTCCATACAGATTTTATCTTAAGAAATGTTAACTACCGAGGCTGGAGGCATAGCTCAGTACTAGATCACTTGCCTAGCATGTGCAGGGTCCTGGGTTCTTTCCCCAGCACCATAAACAATCAAAAACAAAACAAACAACTAAAAAACTACTGCAAACTATTAAGATAGCAAAAATTTTAAGCAGCCAGAACACAAATACATGGCAGTGTCCTATATACACTTTCAATACCATGCTCATGGCAGACATCATTAATCAACCACACAATGCTTTCCCTAAAACAGGTCTAAATTTCAACATTATCTTCCAGTACAAATGAAGGTAGGCATTATAAACAAATTTGTTGTCTTTGATATTTTTAAAATACTGTTCAAGCAAACTGTGTGAAGGACCAAAAATTATGTATTTATGGTTTCAGTTTATAATATTTGAGTTGGTTCCCAAACACAAAATACTCCTAAAATTTTCATCTTTTTTAGCTGGGCATGGAGGCACAAGCCCATAATCCCAGAGACTCTGGAGGAGGAGGCAGGAGGATCACAAGTTTGAGGCCAGCTGAGGCAATTTAGCAGTACCCTATCTAGATATAAAAATGAAAAGAGTTGGAGATAGAGTATCCCTGGGTTCAATTCCTAGTCTACAAAAAAAAGTTTTAACTTTTTGCTATCAAAGAAAATAAAACACAAAGTCAATATTTTAAATAGGAAAATACATTAATTAGGGAAATATAATAAAATATATTTTTGAAAAATGTAACCCTATTAATGAGTTTGAGAAAACTATATTTTTGGCAGCTCATTTTTGACCCATTTGAATCCAGAAAGAGTTCCTTTTTTCTGAATACCCTGAAAGTTAAAATCAGAAAGGTCTATTCAATAAGGGATGAAAAATTACTAGTTTGGAAAAAAAAAAAACTACTATAATATTACTCTGTAACTGAGCAAAAGAAAGAAATACTAACTTTGGTTTTACAGTTTAAAAGATCTACAGATTAAAACACTAGAAAGAATATGTGATTTCCGTCCCTTCTTTCCAAGAATAATTTCAGGTAGAAAAGATATCAGAAGACACAAAAAGGAAAAAAAAAAAAAAGATTTCTGGAATCTAGAGTCAAGTTATGAGTGAATGACATTTAGCATAATCCAAACCAACAGAAAGGAGTGAATTCTGTATATAGGACATTGTAAAAAGTCCTGTGGTAGAAGAAGAAGGAACTGTTTATCAAGTCCAACAATAAAAAACACCTCTTGTTGAACACAGAAACCAGGAGGCTTCAGTATCCTGGCCTAATAGCAAGATTCAAATATTAGATATACATAGACAAATGATATCACAATCTAAAAAATAAAAACACCATAAAAGAGGGCATTTCCCCATCTCAAATCTAACCTTAATTTCTACCAATACTTTTTAACAGTAACTTGCTTGAAAAGCTACCTGTACTGTCCATTAGAGGAAACTTTTAAAATCCTTTTTTAGTAAAGTTCCATATATACGGCCATAATGGCATTTTTCCCCTTTATTTCCTGTTATCTTAAGGACTGAAAACTTTTGTACTCCGTTTACTTATTTTAAGTACGAAAGTATAATAAGCATTACTTTCTTGGACCTTTTTTTTCTCCCTAAAACATGACTGAAACCTGAATCATCTGTAAAGACTTGAGACATCCTAAAAATAAATTTGCATCCAATTGTCAGTTAGTTCTTTTTAAATTTGTACAGATCACTCATTAAAAAATCAAATTTAGGGCTGGGGGTATAACTCAGTGTTTGAACATCCAAAAAAATAAAATGAATTTAAAATCTGCCTGCATCAACAGACTGCATAAAAAGAAAACATAAGATCAATTTTGCTTCTTGAGACAAACTATCTCAAGTAAAGAAGTGACACCAGGAAAGAGTTGACATCTGGGCAGTTACTGGAAAAAGTTTTGGGGACATAAGTAATGCTCATTTAATCTATGATTACAGAATACCTTTTTTCTCAGTGGCTTTAATCTCATTACCAACGCTGAGTTGTAAACAGAGTGCACTTATTACATAGCATGTATTTAGTAAATGGGGAAGCAAATCTAATTCTTATCAGAAAAAACGCCTTCACAGAAAAAGAACTTTAAAATAAGCCACTAAAAGAAACGAATGGGAAGAGCGATCAGGAACACCTCTTTTCCTTTTCCCGTTTGAAGAAAACTAACCATCCCAAAGGCGCACATCCCAGACCCTGGCTCCAGCCTTTAGTAGTGAGGAACCAAACGCGTTAACAACAACACAAACTAGCTTCTTACCTCCTGGATACGCTTCCTGGCCCGCTGAAGCACTTCTTCGTAACCCTTCTGTCGAAGCTCGCTGAGGCTTTCGTAATACTCCTCAGGATCATCGGTCTCCGTGAAGAGCACCTGAGAGAGGATCTTCCAGCCACAGGTGTCCAGGCCGTGGCCCAGGTAGACCTGGAGCTGGTAACACAGAGTATCGATCTCCTGCTCTGTCATCTCAGGCGCGCCCCCGAACAGCACGGTCCACATGCCGGAGGGTTCCTCGGGGAACACTGGCAGGCATGGCTCCAGCTGCGAGTTCACAGAACACAGCTGCTGGTGCACGGCGCGCAGATCCTGAAAGGAAAAGAGCCCGGCCCAGCTGCACTCTTCAGCCGGAGACTCCGGCTCGGCCGCGGGAGGCGGCTGCTCCGCGTCGGAGAGCGCCAGGGGCGTCTCATCCTCCCTAACCATTTCCAGGACTTCGATCTCCTCGGAGACCGCCCCGGAGGCGCTCACAACTCGCACAGAGGAAACCGGGGCCTCCTTGGGCGCCGTTTGGGTAGCAGTGGCGGACCCTGCCGCATCTCTGGCTTCCACTCCTTTTCGGACCGGGCTAGGCTTGGCCCGCGCAGGGCTCCTGAGAAGACTCTCCGCTCCTCTGCCGGCCGGGCTCCGCTGCGGCGGGTCCCCCCGAAGACAGCGCGCGCTCCGCGGAGAGCCTCCCTCCGCCCAGGTCGGACTCCTCCGGGACCCAGGGCTCCGGACTGGAGTCGCAGAGCCGGTGGCCTCAGGCCGTCCCTTGCCCACCGGGCTGCCTGGCCCGCGGGTCCCGTCAGACACGGGTGCGCCAGCCTCGGCACCCCCTCGAGTCCCCGCCTGTTCCCGGGAGCCACTCCTCTGCCTCTGGGCTGTCCGGTTGTGGCAGGTTATGGCAAACTTGCCTTCGATCTCGTTCCAGGCCACAATGAACACGAACTTGTGCTTCTCGCGCTCATCGAACACATGGGGCCGCACAGCCACCCAGTCCGACTCGAGCGTCTCCTCCAGAGCGAAAGACATGGTGGCTGCGGCGCCCGGCCGCGGGGGAGGGCCGACGACCCTACCCGCCTGAAGTCTCGGCGGCTGGCTGCACCGCGCCCCCTGCTCACCCTCTCCGGGCGCCTTCAGCCATCTTAGCACACCGGCCGGCTCTCTGCGCTCGCTCGGCCGCCCCTCCGCACTCGAACCGCCGAGCTCCTTTGTGGTGCGGCTCGCAGGAGAGACAATACGCGTCCCCGAAGCAGGTAGTTCACATGGTCACGTGCGGCCGGATCTGTTTACAAGCCCGGCGCTGCGGCAGCGCCTCGCGGCTGCCCGGCCGCCCACCGCGCGAGGCCGCAGAGCTGCGTCTACAGCACTCCGGAGACGAGAAGCCGGCGCTGCAGGGCCGGGCCGGGCCGGCGGGCTGTCTATCACCGCCGCTCGCCGGGGCCGATCTCCCCGCCCCTGCTCTTCTTCCTGCCCTCCGAGCGGAGCCGGCCTCACAGTAGACGCGTCTCCTAAACTCTGCGCCTCAGCATCGCCACAATGTTGCCATTAAGCTGCTGACGTCGGCGGCTCCACGAGGGACGTAAACACGGGCACGTGCCGCACGCTGGTGACGCGGCGGCGGCGGCGGCGGAGCGCGCGCGCCGCCGCCCCGCCCCTCCGCGTCCCCCAGCGCTGCCAGTGAGAGGCCGCGCTCCCGACTCTTAGTTTCTTTCCGCTTAGCCCCTCCTTCCCGGGGTCGGAGCCTGCAGCCTGCAAGCTCCCGGCACAGTGAGAATCGAAGGTGTGCCCAGTGGCATAGGTGGCCTCCAAACCCAAGGGAAAGGAGAAAAGGTGGAGGAACTGAGATATTTAGAACTCCAGGCAACGGGACCCTCACGTGTAAATTTGACTTCATGCGCTCTGTGGGAATCAAAGAGACAACTATGTTCAGAAAGAAACACCCTTTTACAGTCTAGGAACTATGTGCTATGGGTTTATGGGGTTCCTCCAAACTGGGATTCTCCCCTAATATCCCTCAGACAAGACTTAAGATATGAAAGAAGATGTCTGAAGACAGCCTAGTGGAACTCTGAAACAAAATGAAATGAAAATTCAGCCATGTCCTGGAAGCACGAAATGTTTATATTTCAGTTCATCCGTGTTTTATTGCTTCAGGTTTCATCATTGTGTACTGTTCTATGAACCCCATTTGGCGGTCACTGGATGTTAGCCTTTTTGAAGTTGTATTCAATTATCAGAGTTCCCAGAATGCACATACAAAATGTCATGTCAATCTGAAGAACTCTGATATTCACATGAAACCATGATGAAACATTAAATTTGCCTAGTAGATTTTATAATCGTTTCTATTATTGACATTCTCTTTCCTATTAGTGTCCAAGTCACAGTGCTGGTATTCTGTACCATGGTAGAGTATTAGGGAATTATTCTTTTATCCATATTTCTAAAATATGTGTAAGAACATTTCTTTTTAAAATTTTTTAAATTCTTTTTAGTTATATATGACTGTAGAACGTCTTTTGGCATATCGTACATCATGGAGTATAACTTCCCACTTTGTGGTTGTGGTTATTAATTCTTCATATTAAACCACAAGTTTTCAAAGTTTGTAACAACTTGTGTTAACCCTTAAATGCAAATCAAAGAAATACCCTTTAAAAGATTGGAAGAGAGAAAACCCACTGAAAACCAGAGTTGCCAGCTTAGCAAACAATAGCACTTTATAGAAAAATTTCCCTTCTTTTTTATGAAAAAGTAACTGCTAAAAATGTTTCTGTTAAAGTAACTGACCTGATCATTAGGTCTTTTTGTTCAATAAACAAGAATACAGAGAATAAATGCAAAACTATAGGAAATATTTTATGTACATGCATGTTAAGATTGTAACATTATAAAACTTACCTCCAAATATAAAATTGCATCATATTACAAGAATGTCAGAAAAAAAATTGGTTCATGGTCACATGGATATTAAGTATTTAAAAAAAAAAACCCTCTAGCTTCTGTGTTTGTCAAAAGAGATTTCAACGTTTCTTGTTTCTTCTTAGTAAAAATTGTTATCCTAGAAATGAAAAGAAACAAACCAAAACAGCTTACTGCAGTGCTCTACAATTCTTTGTTTAGGTCTGTATCTGATTGTCAAACAGACAATACACCTAGGTGTATAAATTACTCCCTGGGAATAAATACAGCTTCAGAAAACCTGCATACATCATACCAGCTTTCAAAGGACTTGAAAACTATTATCTGAGTTTTTTTAAACTGTAGAGCATTGTTTGGTAACCTGGGAAATGCTTTAACTCTTTAAACCTTTTTTTTTTTTTTTCAGTACTGGAAACTGAACTGATATGTACAAGACAATCATTCTACCACTGAGCTGCATTCACAGCCCTTTTTGTTTATTTTGTTATCTTGAGACAGGGTCTCACTAAGTTGTCCAGGCCTGCATCTAACTTGTGATCTTCTTACCTCAGCCTTTTTAGTAGGTGGGATTACAGGCATGTGCCATCATGCTTTGCACTTTAGTTCTTTTAATAAAAACTATGACAGTTTACATAGTGACTTTCAAATTGCATGACATTTTCCTGCATATGTTCATTTTATCCTCATAATAACTGTGTAATGTGGATATGAAAGAAATAAGTATCTTTAATTGTACATATGAGAAAACAGCAGTTCTGATGAGTCTGGTCACCCATCCCAAGTTTGGGAGCAGAGAATGTGGAGTTCAGGGGCCTGATTCCAATCCACCACTATTCCAGTTAGATGCCCTAGAAGTAGATACTGAAGAGAAGTTAGAAACACACAAGCTTATTGTGGGTGAAGGGAACATGTGTGGAAAAAAAAAAAAAAGGAGCAGAAGTCAGATTGAGTAGGCTGATCACACAGATTGTCCACATAAAAGATTGTCTCTCACAGAATTTCCCCATTGAGTGGCAATAGGCCTTGCTCAGTCATTGGCTGGGAACCACCCTGAGAAAAGCATAGGATGAAAACCTGAAGCTAACTCAGAAGGCATCAACAGCTGGGGACTGTCAATTTATCACACCTCTTACAGCTGAGGAGTGAGCCCTTTTCTTAAAGGAAAATTTGATTAACACATCTTCACATCCATCACAGTTTACCTTATAGACCTATTGGATCCACTTCATAAAAATATTTGGGGAGTGGCTCCTCCAGGGTTGTGGTAGGCCTCTCCTCCAAGGAGTAACTTAAAAGAGGAAGGTTAGCAGGATGAAGTACAGCCTCCATGCCTACATAGTTGATTTTATGAGTACATAGTTGGTACTCATTATCTCCCTCCTTCACTCTGTATTCCAAAGTCCTGTGGTCCTCTGTTAGCATTAATAGCTCACCTGCTGCTATATCCCAAACCCTCATTCCTGTGAGGTCTGAACTCTGGTAATTTTACTAATGTTTAGCCTCTACCACTACATCACTATTATTTGTTACAATTAGTTAAGAATGTGCCTCTTCTGTTCCATACACATTCCTCTCTTCTCCTATCACATAATAGCCATCCTGTCTTTTACTACTGATTAGGGTCCTTAACCCTGACAAGATAAGTGTCTCTTCCTCTTGCCCTGACTAGAGAGCCCAAAGTGTGCAAGTGGAAGTGGTAACCTATAGCTCAATGGGAGCTTTGCTATGTCTCCAGGCAAGAATTCACCCATGTTGGGGATTAGGATCTCTAATCCTATAGAATCCAAAACTGTGGGAATCCCTTGGAAAGTGGGTATCTCTAAGAGTGTGGCAAATAAAGTCACTGCTGATTCTTCCTCTTAGTTTCCAGACTTAGGAATGTATTCTTCCTACTGGGGATATGGTGCCTTACAAGATGAGTTATTTAATATCTATACCATGTCATGTTACCCTGACCTTGCAGTGTACTGCTTTCTCAGTGTTTCAGCTGCACTTTCAGCAAACATGCCAACACTCTAGGCAGTAGCCTCTAGCGCCTACGTTATATAGCACTATATGGCATAACCAGTGGGTCTGTAAAAAAATATAGTTGGATACTATATTTTTTCAAGTCTATAGACCAAGCTTTCTGTAAATGGCTTGATAATGGTGCTGAGACCTGTGGGCAGGAAAGGCAAAGACAGACCCAAATGAAATAACTATTCCTCTGGGGAGGGAGGAACCCTTTCCCAGGAGAAAAGGGTCCCATGTAGTAGTCTCTTTGATACCAAATGACCGGTTGGTCTTCTCAAGGAACAATGCCAAATTAGAGGTTCTGCATTATTGTCTGATGCTGGTAGGTTAAACTTTCAAAAAAAGTGATCACTAGATCAGCCTTGGTAAGTGGGAATCCATGTTTTTCAACCCATGCGCAGCTTCCATCTCTGCCATTGTGGCCATGACATCCATTTGCCTCTCGTGCCAATGAATTAGTCCAATTATTTTGTCTATGTGGCTGTTTGGTGTCCATGCTGTTCAGGTACTTTCTGGTTGGCATTAATAGGTAATTAAAAAAATCTTCACACATTCTGCCCATTCTTATATGTCCAGGTACATACTTCTTCCCTAGACCTTCTTGTCTTGATATCTAGTTTTCTTCTTACAGGCTCCTGATCATTTACCACTGTCCATAAATCCATATGCAATCTCCCTCTAGGACACTTCTCCTATCACACAAAGTATGACCACCTACTGAAGCTCTGCCCATTGAGAAAACTTCTTTCAAACAATGTATTATCACTGTCTTTCACAATCACCCCTGAATAAGACTATATTGCAGACATCATTTTTTTTTTTGCCTACATAAAGAACCAATCTATCTATTAAAAAAGTTAGGGGTTTTCCTTTTTTTTTTTTAACTGATTGAATGAGAGTCCCATATGGCCATGGATTTGATCTGAAGAGGGATGATGCTACATAGTGAATGCTATGATGGCGCTTAGTAGATATCATGGGGTTCTAGATTCATTGCTTATGTCACTTATTTGTGTCATCTCTTCCCATTCATGTTCAGTCCCAGATATATAATTTCCATTTTGTAGCTGGGCTCAGTAACACACACCTATAATCCCAGAAACTCCAGAGGCTGAGGCAGGAGAATTTTAAGTTCAAGGTCAGCTAGCAAGTCCCTAAGCAATTTAGCGAGATCCTGTCACAAAATTTAAAAGAGCATTTCCATTTTGTGATGGATGGATTGCTACTGAGCCCACCTGACTTTGTGACTTGTCCCCAATACATGTAGGCAATTCCAGATTCATTGTCACCTTGTATCCTAAGGTCAAGTGTTCCAATTCTATCAGGGCCATTAACATTCTGTTTTGTTTTGTTTTTTTTTAATATTCAATTTTTTTTTTTTTTTAGTTCTCGGCGGACACAACATCTTTGTTGGTATGTGGTGCTGAGGATCAAACCCAGGCCGCACGCATGCCAGACGAGCGCGCTACTGCCTGAGCCACATTCCCAGCCCAACATTCTGTTTTATCAAAGAGTTATAACTCAGGGGTCTGGGGTATAGTGCAATGGTCAAGCTCTTGCCTAGCAAGTGCAGGGTTCTGAATTTAATTATTGTTACTGCCAA